AGAATTAAAGAAATTGAGATACAAAGAAAACAAATTTTATTTTTATTTATTTTATTTTATTTTTTTTTTTCTTTAGGTTATGTGACGTGTATGTAAACGACAAATAAAATAAACAACCAAATAAACAAACAAACAAACAAATAAACAAACAAATAAACAAACGTACATATTTATTTATTTATTTATTTATTTATTTTTTTTTTTTTTTTAGGTTATGTGATGTATATGTAAACGACGCCTTCGGCACAGCTCACCGTGCTAAAATAAATAAAAGAAAATAATTAAATAAATTAAAAAAACAAAAAACCATTTATTTTATTTTATTTATTTGTTTTTTTTTTGTAGGTTATGTGATGTATATGTAAACGACGCCTTCGGCACAGCTCACCGTGCGCATGCATCGATGGTGGGTGTTTCTGTTCCTCTTCGTGTTGCTGGTTTATTGATGAAAAAAGAATTAAATTATTTTGCTTCTGCTTTAGAAAAACCTAATAAACCTTTTCTTGCTATACTTGGAGGAGCTAAGGTTAAAGATAAAATTCAACTCATCAAGAATCTACTCACCAAGTTAGTTTTTATTCTTTTTATTTATTTTGTTTATTTTGTTTTGTTTTTTTATTGTTTTATTTGCGTTTATAGTTTTTGTTTTTTTTGTTTTTTTGGTTTTTTGGTTTTTTTTGGTTAAAGATAAAATTCAACTCATCAAGAATCTACTCACCAAGTTTGTTTTTTATTTTTATCTATTTATTTCTATTTGTTTTGTTTATTTTGTTTGTTTTGGTTTTTTTGCTTTTTGTTTTGTTTGTTTTGTTTTTGTTTTTTTTGTTTTTTTTGGTTTTTTGGTTTTTTTTGGTTAAAGATAAAATTCAACTCATCAAGAATCTACCCACCAAGTTAGTTTTTTATTTTTATTTGTTTTTATTTTTGTTTTTTTGTTTTGTTTTGTTTTGTTTTTTGTTTTTTGTTTTTTGTTTTGTTTTAGTTGTGTTTATAGTTTTTGTTTTTTTTGTTTTTTTGTTTTTTTGGTTTTTTTTGGTTAAAGATAAAATTCAACTCATCAAGAATCTACTCACCAAGTTTGTTTCTCTTCTTC